TTTTTTCCACCATAATTACGACCGGAGTCCGTGTCGGATTTGAGGAGAAGGTATGATTGTTTTACAATTGAGGAGTCATTCTGTTTAAGTATCTTTATCCAATATCGGAGTATATTAACTTTACGAAAGATTTGTATCGGAACTCGACCTAATTCTCCATAAAGAGCTGCAAGATTCGTTGACTTTTTTTACACCCAGGATTCTACGCAAAAATTTTGTATGAAATTAGCTCGATATCTGGTGCATCGTGTAAACCCCAAACTTCTGAACTAAAATTTAAAATTGAACCTACTAAAGAATCGAATAGTTTACATTTCTGATAAACTGGTAGCTGTATGTGTCTAAAAACTGTAAAAAGGTTAAAAAGTGCATATGACGCATGTTGAGCGATTCTTTTTTGTGTTCTATACCAGTTACCATTTTTGAAAAGTGTAATACCAAGATATTTAAAAGATTCGACGATATCTATTCGTGTGTTGTAAATAAAGAAATCATACTGGGAATGTCTGCCTTTTTCAAAAATCATGGCTTTAGTCTTAGAAGTATTAATTTTCAACCCCCAAAGTTGACAGTAATTTTGGATATCATTTAACATAAACTGTAATGTTTCGGGAGACTTAGCAAAAAGCGCCTGATCGTCTGCCAAACAATATTAGAAAAATCTTGAGCTCATTTATGGTAAAAAATATCACTTAAATTTGTATTTATACAGTCATTTATATCATTTACGAACAGCATGAAGAGAAGAGGTGAGCTCGGGTCCCCTTGTTTCAAGCCTATGTGTGTTTCGAAAAAGTCTGAAAATGAAGATTTTATACTTTATACATGACTTAACCTTGTTATACATTGATTTTATTGCTTTAACTAATTTGGAACTAACGTTTTCAGTAAGTAGTTTCTGCCATAGGAAAGATCGGTCTACTTTATCGAAACATTTCTCATAGTCAATAAAGACACAGTAAAGTTTTTCACCCGAATCAAGGACTTTTGATATTATAGTGTGAAGAATGAAAATACAATCTATTACAGATTTTCCTTTTTGGAAACCAAACTGATTATTACAAATTTTTTCGTTATTTTCTACCCATTTAGTAAGTCTATTCAGTAGAATTTGAGAATAAATTTTTGCCAATATGTTTACTAGAGTAATTCCACGATAATTTTGTGTATCGTTTATATCTCCTTTTTTAAATATTGGTGTTATTATACCTTCTCCCCAAATCAACGGATATTCTCCATTATTGAATAGCCTATTAAAAAGTTTTAACAGAAATTCTGATATAATATCATACGATGATTGAAGCATTTCACTTGTAAGTTCGTCCTTTCCAGGGGATTTATTTTTATTTTGTGAGAAAACTGCGTCTCGAAGTTCGGGTTCAGTTATATTTTTATCGAGTTCCCGGTTATAGATGTTTTCATCATTTCATTTTATTGGCAAATCGGCAAATAAACATTACCTTTGGCCATTCACAGAGTATCATGACAAATATGGCCAAAAGTTAAATAGTTACAAACATTACATCATACAATATATAACAAAAAGAGTACAAGAATGAAACTAATTAAGAAGCAGTTACATCTTCAAGAGACTGTTGCCTCAACTTAAATGCATTATGAACATAGTGAGCACATTTAAGAATAAGCTTTTTGTTATTAGTGGACAATATAGTCGAAAATTTTTGTATAGTAGGCCATGAAATGTTTCCTAAATATTTGGTTCTTATAACAGTATAAATTGGACAACATAAAAGGAAGTGGTATTCTGATTCAATAGAGTTATATATACATAGTTTACATTTGCGATCGTTTCTATCAATGTTAAAAAATCTTCCAGTTTCTATTTCTAAGTTATGCGAGCCTAGTCTGAAACAAGCAAAGTCTTTTCTTTAACACATTATTTGTTAAAACATCAAGATATTTTTCATAACAAAAAGAAGTTTTAAATTTTCTGTAATAATCAAGCTTGGGCATATTTTGTATAGAAGTATTCCAGTTCTGTAAATATTGGTCTCGCAGACGCTGCTTTAACATTGGCATATAATTAAAATTTAAGTTAAAGTTAAGCCAAATATCACTACAACCTAAGCTGTCTAACAAGCGTTTTATACTGCTTGCCCAATTACAATCAATATTTCGATTTACACTGGTCTACAAACATGTTGTACATTGGTGAGTCCTGGTTTTTCATAATTTTTAACCAGAATTTAAGAGTTCTTTCTTTAGAAATAACAGAAAGAGGAAATCTTCCTAACTCACCAAACACAGCAACATTCGGTGTTTGCTGACGTACACCAAGTATATACTTGCAAAATTTAACATGAATTTTGTCTATTTCTTTACAATCATAAATACCCCAAACCTCTGCATTATATAACAAAATTGGTAGCACCATAGAATCAAAAAAGTGACATTTTAGTTTTTATATCTAAATTTACTCTACTGAATAACCCTAACAAACAATTGTATGCTTTCAAAGCTTGTTCAGACAGCGTAATAGCAGCAGTTTTCATATTACCAGTGTATGTAAAATTTACACCTAAAATAGCAAAAATGATCAACAACTTCAAGCATTTCACCATTTATAAACCATTGAAAATGATGTCTTTGTTTACGTTTTTCAAATATACATATTTTTGATTTATTGACATTTATTTTTAAACCCCCATTTCATGGAATAACTATAGACTGCATCTAACTGGGCTTGTAAGCTGTGCGGGTCAATGGTAAAGAGCGCTATGTCATCAGCAAATAGCAACATATACATAGATAACTGGTTAAGATCATTGTCAGTAAGAGAGTTATAATCAATGTTGTCACATATATCATTTACAAAAAGGATAAATAAAATCGGCGAGAGTGGTTCCCCTTGTTTTAATCCAAGGGTAACGTCGAAAAAATCAGAGAGAGGCATCGAAGATGACAATTTTACACAAGAGGTAACAGATGCATATATCGACTGTAACATAGTTAACATTTTACAACTTATACCAAGTTTCAAAAGCTTTAACCATAACGCATCTCTAACAATAGTATCGAAAGCTTTCTCGTAGTCGATGAATGCGCAATATAGTTTCAATTTACAATTGACTATATTTTGAATAATAGAATGGAGTAAAAATACACAATCTGTTGTAGACCTATTGTCTCTAAAACCGAATTGAGAATCATTAAACATTTTTTGCTCTTCACACCATATGTTTAATCTATTTCGAAGAATAAGTGAAAATATTTTAGCAAGTACATTGACAAGGGTGATTCCTCGATAATTGGAAGGATTAGAGATATCCCCTTTTTTGTGTATCGGAACAATAATACCTTTAGACCAGGCACTTGGATAAATTCCAGTATCAAATATTTTGTTAAAAAATACAACAAGGTATGGAGCTATAAAAGTGTTTGCATCAATAAAAAAATCTGCAACAATTTTACTATAATCAGCACTCTTGTGTCTCTGCATAGAACGTATTGTTTTAGAGACTTCCTCTACAGTAAATGCGCAATCTAATTTATCAATAAACAGCTGTTCGGGTCTACTATTATGCTCATTTTCCTGAGAATAATAAGGCTGCTGATTGCTGGAGATATTCTTAAAATGGTCTACAAAATCAGAAATATTAACATCAGATACATTTGTTGAACCCTTATTTCTAAATTTATTTATATACTTCCAAAATTTCCTTGGACTATGTTTACTCATGGAAGACAATTTAACTTTTTCCTTGTAATTAAAGTTACGTTTTGCTTTCTTTTTTACATTACAAAACATACGCCTACTATTCAAAAAGTTAGCTCTATTTGCTTCAGAAGGATTATTATGGAAAATTCTTTTATTATTCAAGAAAGATGTTTTTGCCTGTTTACAACTATTGTCGAACCATGGCACATTTTTAATTGCTTTTTTAGACTTTTTAGTGTGAAAAGTTTTACCATTCATTTTAAAAGATATATCATATACAATATCTGTAAAGTTATTTATACACACATCAATATCAATTTCATCCGAAGCTAATTTAACCGACAATTCATCCAATAATAATTTTTTATCGTTCAACAAAGATTGAAATAAATCTGGATCAGTATCAGTCCACACAATTTTATCATAAGTTAATAAATCAGTGTGATAAAATATCATATGCTCACAATCTAATGAAAAAACAAGTGGGCAATGATCAGAAAATTCTGTCAATTCCAATATATTCATATTTGAAAAACTTGCAAAATTTATATAGTCAGTTATCAAATAATCGACAACACTAGCCCCTTTCACATTCCGACTGGCATTGTAGCAAGTAAAATCTCCTCGTTCAAGGCGACCGTTACAAATTAAAAGGTCATTTTCTTTGCATAAGGCTAACAGTTTATTTCCGAAGGCGTTCACAGTGTTATCACGAGAAAAGCGTGCAGGTATTGCTCGTATAGATCCATCGTCATTCGGCATATCAATGTAACGGTCGAGGTTAATGTTCTCAACATAATCCAATCTTTGACCTGTCCTGGCATTCAGGTCACCTGTCAAATATGTGTCACCCAGATATTTATACTTGATGATATCAGCGTTTAATTGCTCGAAAAAAGTCAAATTGATATAATTCAGAGGAAGCACTTTTGTACACATTAGATTCATTAGGCGGAATGTAACAAGTACATAAATACTGGTCATTTTCGGTCCCAAAATATTCCTTCTTTAATTTAATCCATACTATGCCTTTCATATTCAAACAAACAAGCTCAATTTTGTTTATATACTTATCTTTGTAATAGATAATAATACCGCCACTAGAGCGTTTAGCCTTTTTATTAGATTTAGGTCTAGGACATGAAAAGTGATGATATCCATCTATTTGAATATTAGTTATTCTAGAATGCCAGGTTTCAGTAAACAAGAGCACGTCATATTCATTAACTAAATTCAGGAAGTCACTATCAGATAACTTATTTATAATACCTTGAACGTTCCAGGATAACACTTTAATATTTTGCTGCTTCTCGGCATTATCCTAGTTTGATGGTGGAATGAAGCGCTGGCCATTTATAAAAAGTTTATCGTAAGCTAGGACAGCGTTCTTATTCTGCTCCTTTGCACTTACAAGATGCGGAATGAGTTTCCTTCTGCGTTCTTGTATTATCTTAGGATATTGGTCGCCCACTTTAATGCCAGTTTCCTTTTGCTTGGAATAAGCGGTCTGTTTAACAGAAAGTTTATCTTGAAAAAAGTTAAATTTGGCGACGATAGGTCTGGTCTTAGTGGAGGAGAAACTGCCTACACGGTGCGCATGGTCTATTTTTACATTATGTCGGAAATCAGGCATGCCTAATTTGTTTTCACAGAAGTCATATATTAACTCTAAACATTTTTCATTCTTGCGCTCTTCAGGGGACGACAACTCTTTAAAATTGTAGAACATTAGGTTGTCTCTCATTGAGCGAGACTGAAGATCCACAAGCTCATCGGACAATCTGCTATTTTCGGATTTTAATTCATCAAATTCGCGCAAAAGATTGGAGTTGGTACGCTGTTGGTCGTGGAGGCTTGAATCTATTTTGGCTTGTTTCTGACTTATTTCATCACAAAATTTGCGCATCATAATTTCTGCTTGTCTCTATATCATTGATTTTGCGTGACGATTTCGTGTAATTTGCTTTCAAGTGTGGACACTCTATTGTCCATTAAAGTTAATTTTTGCGACATAGTTGTGATCTGGCTTTCAATAGAATCTAGTTTTCTAAACCGTAAATCTATTGCCTCGAGCTTCTCCATTATAGTGTGATTGAAGTTCATAGAGGTTTGTTGAGGGGTGTAGCAAAAGCCGGAGAGTTCATGTAATGCTGAGGTTGTGGGGGAGGGTAGTTCGGACCTTGGTACTGAGGAATCTGTGATAAAAATGTGCCCTGGGATGAGAGTAGACTTGGTGATGTCTGGTCTGCCATCGTAGATCGTTTATCTGGCTGAATGCTTAAATAATTTGGTGAAGACTCAGATTTCGTACGCTTCTTATGTCCTTTCTTACCACCCATTTAAAATGGAATCGTCTACAGAAACATCATCAAATATGAAAAACGTCTATAACATCCAAACTTGTACATCCAAAAGTTGGTTAACTGACAGAAAAGCTTACAGAATAATGAATATTTGCAGCTGTATAAAATTAGTTCATCAAATCTCTCAAATACATACGTAAATCCAACTTTTTCAACGATATACCGGGAACTCAAAAAACACGTCCGCCATATTTGTCACGTGATTATCAAAAAAAAAAAAGATAAGATATAAGTATATGAAAATAAGATATATGATTGGTGACTGTGATAAATCGCCAATAAACACCTGTAACAATGGGCTTTAATAAGTAGTCGTCAATTACGGTAAGTGCGAAAATCCAATAATCCAATCAACGTATTAGCGCATTGATTGCTGCCGATAATCATGTGCACGTGTCAAACGTTATGTCATTTTTTTTCTTCTCTCAAATCCGTACATTATCTAATTAAAGCACTTAAAGCAATAAAGTTATATCCTTTTATTTTACTAAATTTCATATTACACTTAATTCCATTCATCTTTTATTTCGGTATAAATCATTTCCATACAGATATCTTATTTTCATATAGATATCTTATTTTTATGGTGTCATTTTGATACATATATATTTTTATACAAATCTTATTTCCGTTAAAGATCTTATTTGATAATTTATCATTCTGAAACAGATATTATTTTCATACATAAATTTGTATTATTTTCATATAGATGTTTTCGTAAGGATATTATTTTCATGCAACTTTAAATTTCATATATCTTATATTTTGTAAAAATCTTAGTCGAAAACAGACATTATTTTCATACAGATCTTATTTTCGCAGATATCTTTTTTCAGTATACGAGCAGATCTTATTTTCGTGCATATATGTGAATTCATACAGATATTATTTCCATTATTTCCATAAAGATCTTATTTTCGTATAGATCACATTTTCAACAGGGTACTTTAAACGTATATGTAGTATTTTCATAAAGGTATTATTTTTTGACTGATGTCATTTTCGTATATATATACCTTATTTTTCTTATTTCATTCAAAGAAATAAGTTTTAACAACAAAAATACGAATTTAATACATAAAATTCAAAAATAAATATATCATTTTTCGTAGACCCGATCTTTATTTTCGCTTTACACGGCGATTTGAGGTATTCGCGTACGATGATATTTTCGGCTCAAACATCACTTTTGAAAATATTTTCTGGTTCTGAAATTTTAATTTGCTGTAAAATCATTCAAATAATGCATAAATATATAATTAACATAATTATTTAACAGATAAATGCACTATTTCAAAAATAAATATTATTATCGTAGCTGCGATCTTATTTTCGCGAAAATAGCTCATCCATCTATACCGCATATCATTACATTAAAAAAAAACAGAAATATCTTTCTACAGGCATTCATATATAAAGATTAATTAAAAAGGCCGAAATCGACACAACCACACGAGAGTACGAATGTCAGACATAATCCCCTTCGGACAAAATCCCCTTCACCTACCCGGACAAAATCCCCTTCATGGGTGGACATAATCCCCTTCATTTTTTTGCAAGGCTGGACAAAATCCCCTCACTACCCGGACAAAATCCCCTTGTTTCATAGGTTTCTAATGTATTATTATGCTCCATAAAAATTGATGAATAATGTATTATTATACTCCCTAAAAATTGATGAATAATGAACTTTTGTTGTTTTTTTTATAATTATGTATCAATAGTTACCTTTATTTAGTTTAGAAGTTTTCATTAAAATTATGGTAAATTATCAACTGCATAACACATATTTGATTAGGCAATTTCTTTAATAGTTTTAAATTGATTAGTATGAAAAACATTTTTATTAGCCAATAATTGTTTCATTGATTGTATAAGTTGATAATTTTAATTGATAGATACTATCCATTGTTACAATTTCTATTGATGAAAGAGTGATAATTTAATCAAACCAAGATCACTGCACTACTTGATTGATTGTTATGAATGCTTTAACAAAGCAATTTTAATGTGATTTAAATGTTGCTAATTGAATGTGCTTTTCTGCTGAAATATTTTCTACTCATTTATACATTAAGATATTTACTACACGGCATAATGCAGTATGTGGCTCTCATACCCACTTAAAAAAACGAAAATTCCTCTGAGGGGGATTTTGTCCTAGATAGCAATTTTATGAAGGGGATTTTGTCCACTTCAAAATTTCACACATGAAGGGGATTATGTCCACCCATGAAGGGGATTATGTCCGGATATACAAAAATACATGAAGGGGATTTTGTCCGAAGGGGATTATGTCCGTACACCCGAGAGTACTGTTACGATGATTGTCTACTGCACTGCACCGACATTTGCAAACAGATTTACAAAATAATAATAATAATAATAAATAATAATAATAATAATAATAATAATAATAATAATAATAATAATAATAATAATAATAATAATATATAATAATAATAAAATAATAAATGAAATTAAATGTTCTATGAATATAACAATATTGACAATCTCAGCAATATTTTGTACTAAAATTGAATAAATACTTCATGTGTTGAGCGAATTAAAAAGCCCGCAATATTACCCGTTAAACAATTGTGCGTCAATAAATTAGACAAAATAACCCAATAAATCTTAAATATTGCATTTTTGATCATCTGTGAATATATTTCGTATGCTTCTTTTTTACTTTGATATTAAACTTATGATGTTACCCATATGATAAATTTTAAGTTCCTTCCTTTTCATATATAAAAATGTAAATTTACCGCGGATTTCGTGAAGTTAATTGTTTAATTGTCGTTGCGGCATGATAGGCAGTATCTATAAGAAATAAAATAGATAATGTATTTGTATTAAACAAGTATTTATCTTCAAAATAAACGTTAAATTTCCAAAATCGGATTATAAATGGAAAAGCTATATGGTATTTTGTAAAGTAGGTATCCGTTGCAAACGAGCATTTACATTTATCGCCCGATGCACCTTTATCGGTACGCGCATTTACATAACTTGGAGTGTCTGATCCCTGTAATATAAATCCCTTCTAGTATTTGCTGTATAAACGAGGAGACTTGCAAATAGCACAAGAAATGTAGGTCACTTAATCCTTGTGTATTAATAAAGGTCCTGGATCCCTTGGTTTCCTGTCATAAAACTCTTTCGGTCTGCATTGAGGCATTTGCCGATATAATACAATATTTACTCGGGGTAAAGCAGACGCTTTCAGTAGATTACTCTTGATCAGTTAGGAGGCAGATTCAAGCGTCTGCATAATACTGATTTTATTAGTCTACTTAATATAGCCCTTTATAAGTAATTAAATCTACTGTTAAATACAAATAGTACCCTTGAACGAAATGATAATGTACAATCAGTATACACATGTATATAAAGCTTACTCATTTACTTACTAACTTTAAAATTAAACACTTTTTACTTTAAGTTACTAACACAACATATGCCTAACTAGCATCAGTAACAAAGATTTAAGATTTTCACTTCCACTACTAAGGGTTGTAAGTTTGAATCTCAAGGAAGCATTAATTTCTATATTTCTTTTTTATATAACCTTTTTGTAGTTTGAAGCTATAAATCTTAAAAATAAATTTTAAAAATAAATAAATAAATAAATAAATAAATAAATAAATAAATAAATAAATAAATAAATAAATAAATAAATAAATGAATGAATGAATGAATGAATGAATGAATGAATGAATGAATGAATCGGATAGATAGATAAAAAAGAATGAATGAATGAATGAATGAGATGGGATAAATAGATAAAAATGAATGATTGATTGAATGAATGAATGAATCGGATAGATAGATAAAAATGAATGAATGAATGAGATGGGATAAATAGATAAAAATGAATGAATGAATGAATGAATGAATGAATGAATGAATGAATGAATGAATGAATGAATGAATGAATGAATGAATGAATGAATTTGCACGACTGTTATGCCATTCTCCATAACGCCGTAAGTGTGAATTTATTTATCGAAAACTATACTGGTAATTCGTAATAAAGAATTAATAATTGCCAAACAATACCTCCCTTTTTTAGTGATATGTTTATTTGCTTTAAATAAAAACTGTATAAACATAATTATGATATGCGCATTAACTTTAAATAAAAACTGTATAAACATAATTATAATGCTTATACGTCGGCAATAATCTTTATTTCTAATTTTTAACTTATACGTCGGCAATAACACGATTTAACAAGATATCCGGAAAATATATCGAACATTTTCGATTTACCGTCATTAAAATAATGTGTGAATTTAGAAACATCATTCCTTTGTGAATGTTCAAACTTTTTAGGTTAAGTGTTGTTTAGGTACAGATAAAATATAATAAAGATCTTGCAAAGTTTTACTATATGATGAATGAAATATCTGCATGAGATTCCCATCTATAAGCGATATTTAGATCCCCTAGTAACGATCTTATCTTACCTGATGTATGAAAAGGTTTTACGTTTGTAACGAAATATATGTTGTTTATTATTGCCAGAAGTTTGAAAAAT